TATAGATCGATATCTGTAAAACAAAACGGTGAATGAAATCTGGACGAAATCGGATTTCCAGATTTTTGATTTTGTTGTTGGAAATTTGTAAAAAGAGAAATATCTTATTAGATGATTAGCTGATTGATCTGTCAGAATATATTCTAATTCATGAATCCGACTACGTGGAAAATAATACTGGATACCCAGAACGAACAATCCGACAGTCAGATCTCGTCGGATCCTATCGGAAAAATTATCGAATTTTATCGAATCCGATGGCAATTCGTCGGAATCCTTGGTACCGGATTCCGACAGGAAGTTGTCGGATGTCGGAAAGTGTCGGAAGTGGCCTGGATCTTGTCGGAACTCTGAAAATCCGACACTTTCCAACATCCGACAACTTCCGACTAATTTCCATCGGATCCGATGGTGTGAGATCGGCCTGGATATTCTGCATTCTTATATAATCCGACAAGTTCCGATACCAGTGATTGATCAGTTTTATCATAGAATCTGGTGTCATTTGAAACCGAAAAATCCGGCCATTTCTTGACATCAGATTCCCCGGAATCCCATCGGAAGCGAACAGATCTTGAGATCGGATCTGACCAGCTCCGAATATATGAATCTAGTCGGAGCTCGATGAATCCGACCGGCGGATATCAAAGGAAAACAGTGGATAGCATCGGAATCCGACAAAAAGTAACCGACCGAATCCGATTAGCCGTATCTCAACGGATTTGAAACCTATCCGACAGGATCCGACATAGCTATTTCGACCTGGGAGATGCATCGTGAAAAGCTTTACGAAAGGTGTATAAATAAATCCATACAGACACGTCTTAATAGGTTTTCTGAATGATAGAAAGTAATCATCTGCGAGACGTTGCTATTTTCAGATATGTTGAATATGACAAAGTTGTTGCAAAGATTTTCAAAGCAACTTCTTTTTTTGAAATAAAGTTTTAGACAAAGGTGATAGAACTTCACAAAGAGACAATGAAAATTTCTAGGTATTATGAATGTTCATCAATAATAATCTCTCCATTGTGTTTTTCGACCGAATAAACTCTTCGAAGAAACCCACCTATAACTTGAGGCACATAATTCAAATCAATTTTTTTCCAAGCTCTTCTAATTTCTCGTTCCAAATCATCTTTTTTTTTGAACATTTTGATAGTTGATGTTGTTACTAATACTATCCCATATAGAGTAAGCGAGCGGATTTAGATCTGGTGAGTTTGGAGGCCATCGATCTTCCGGAATAAAGGACATTAAATACCTTCTGCAGCAGTCTTGTGATCTTTCACTAGTATGTGCAGTCGTCCCATCTTGTTGCAAGCACCAATTGGAATGTCCAAATAACCGATCACCTTCAGCCTTGTAAAATGGCAATAATTTTTCAATGTAAGTTTCAGTATTTAGACGTTTATTCGTTTCAACAAAAAAATGAAATCGTTAGTCCATTCCATGTTGCGCCCATCGCAACCATGAGCGAAACAGGAAATTTTTCTTCAGTATAAATACCGTTGTTCATATCTGCATCTAATCTACTACTGGCCCATATAACATCATTCTTTCGATTTAAATATCCATTTCGAGTAAACATTTTCTCATCGGTGAACATGATTTTGTGTACATCTTCACGTTGAAATTTTTTTTCTTATCCAAGTGCAACATCGCTTCCTAGATGATGACTCTGAAGCTTCTGCACATATGTTCTTCGATAACATTTTTTTTTCAAATCTTCTTTGAGAATCCTTTGTATTGTTGATCGACTGCTTCCAAAATCTTTTGACATTGTCCGTAAACTTTTTCTCTTATTATCTGAGGAAAGTCGTTTTTTCACTAAATTGATTAATCGTTTGGTTCTTCCACTTCTCTTTCTCCCTGTTGGTTTTCCTGCATGAAATGAGCCAATTCGATCATATTGACATATCCAGCGATGGATTGTAGCACGATGAACCTTGTTTGCTAATAAAACTGCAACTTATGGTGCCTTCTTTCCGTTTTTATAATGAGTAATAGCAATATCACGTAAATCTTCGCTTTTAGCCATTACTACAACTTGAATCAAATTTTATTTCTTTTTTTTTCTGTTTAGAAAATGCACTTTAAAAGCACGTTGATATAAATCGAAGTGAATATACGATCCTATTTATATGTTGAGGGGACGATTGGACATCGAAGAAGACGAGACAAAAAAAACAGAAAGAAAACACCAGAAGAACGAGCAAAAGAAATAGAAGATGAACTTGGAAGAGAACTGAATCTGTTATGATCTTCACAGATGATCAGTTTCAATCATTCAGAGAAGTTATTAAAGCGTGTCTGTATGGATTTATTTATACACCTTTCGTAAAGCTTTTCACGATGCATCTTTTAAAAAAATATTGAAGATCTTATCATTTACTTTAGATGAGATACATATAAAACAAATATATTTTCGAAACGTTTTTATTATATTAAGTGCCATGGGAAGTAATACTAATATATATGCTTTTCATCTTGACCATAAAAGAGACTATAAGAACAAATTCTAAAAACGTTTCTTAATATGGGTTTTGTAGAGCTTTTCAAGGCGTATCTTTTGAAAAAAGAATCAAAATTATATCGTTTGTCTGTGCAGAAATATTCTTAAAACAAAGAATGTTGCAATTATTTTGGGATACTCGGTATATTTATTGTTAATTATAGTTACTATTTCATAGAGGTCTTTCAATAATTTTCCTTTTTAGATAGTCAAATCCAGTTCAACATTTTTTTTTCAATGATACAAGCTTGCAGAGAATAAAATTCTCTATAAAATAATATGCTAGGTTGCACAATAACTATTTTTTTCTGAATATGATAAGACCCTATCTTTCGAAATACAATTGATAGTGAAGAAAGAAGAAACAAAAAAAACCTTTTTCGTTTTGTCACTTAATGCATGATGTATTGATCTATATATCTGTCTCTGCTTCATTCATCGGCTCGGTGTAAATAAAGTAACAGAACGAAAAAAGCTTCTTTTTGTCTCTTCTTTCTTCAATGTAAATTGTATTTCGAAAGAGAGGGTCTTATCATATTCAGAAAAAATAGTTATTGTGCAACCAAGCATATTATTTGATAGAGAATTTAGTTCTTTACAAGCTTGTATCATTGAAAAAAAAAATGTTGAATTGGATTTGACTATCTAAAAATGAAAATTATTGAAAGACCAATATGAAATAGTAATTATAATTAACAATAAATATATATTTTATTTAATGATTTTTATGAATCACAAACATAATTCGATTCAGTTTTCTTTTCTCTATAAAATCATAAATTTTCAGTTGGCTTTGCATTTTATCCCAACCTGAAAAAGTTAAGTTAGCAGAAAAACCTAGAGGGTTTAAGCTATTTTCAAGTTTTTCGAGATTCTATCAAGATGTTTTTTTCTCGGTTCTAATAGAGATCAATGTGTAGAGAATTATTTTCTCTATTGAATGATATTTAACTGAAAATATTTTCATGACGAATAAAAGCATCATAAATAGATAATTACAGATCACCAAATTATTTTTTTTGCATAAGAAATCAAGCAGTTTATGGAAACTCTTTTGAGAGATTATTTTTTTCGTAGAGTAAAGTTAAGACTTTGATCTATCGAATGATATAATCAGAGTCAAGAATATATTTTTTTTTGTTCTTTATGAAATTAGCCCCACAAGACAAGTATTCGAGGGTATCCACAGAATTATTTTTCATAGTATATAAGAAAGATTTTATTTAAAACATAGGAAAGACATAGAATAAAATGAATGATGAAAAAACGTAACGCTTTCAAAATGAAGTTTTTTATTTAAAATAGGAAAATTTCGATGATGAAATCTGTAAAATGAAAATTGTAATAAGTCTGATTGACTATAATCGATATAAATGCATTAATTCGATATATATTAATATAGGATAAAAATAATATTGATTGACTGTAGTTAATTATTATTTAAAATCAAAAATAAAATAAACTGATCAATATTAAAGAATAAAAATGAATAGAGTTAAAAGACAACAACAATAAAAAAACATTTGAGAATATGTCTGTAAAAAAAAAGAATTAGACATGTAAATTGAATTTGATTAGAGAAATGTAGCATATTGAATATATAAATTTGATTTTGAAAAAAAAAATTAAATTAAAGTTTAGTATAAGAAAAAATATTCTTTTGTAAAATGAATCAGTGTTATATGTCAAGTTACCCGTTACATTTATTTAATACTGGATTAACTTGTGATTAAACCTTTATATGCGTCTATGCATTTCTCTATTCTCTCAATAAAAAAGGCAGTCAATCGAATCTTAATAAACATTACTTCTATTTCATATTAAATATAAATATAAAATAAGAAAAATCTATTTTGTTTATTTATAAAATAAGAAAAAAAAAAGTCTATATTATAATAATATATCGAAAATAGTTCATATGAATTCTGTTTAATCTATAAAGAAAAAAGTTGATATTAAATATGTTGTTAAGAAGATGATTATTCTAACGAAGTATCATTCAATCAAAACTACCTTGAAACGAATCTCTCTTTCTCTTAAACGTATCCTTGATTAAGATTATAAATAACCTGATTATATTTTTCATTGATATCCACAGTAACGTCATAAGAATATAATTTGTGTGCGTCAAAGTATCGATGTCATTCAATGTTTATAATGTATAAAGTAAAATGATAAATCGAAACTGTATATTATGAATTCTAAATGATAATGTGTTTTCTCGTATAAAATATGAATAAAAAGAAATAGATTTGTTTATTCGAATATTTTTTTTAATATCTTACAGTAAAACTCAATGACATGACAATGAATTATTGAAAGGATAATTAACAGTTAAATAAAATGAATATGTTAATATTACAAAAAAAATAAAAGTTTTTATTGAAAATATTTTTTTTTTATTATCGTTGAGTAAATGCAACAGGTGGTGTTGGATTGTATTGATCATTTTTTGAATTGCATGAATATAAAGGTGCCGATTAATTTAAGGTAGAGTCATTGCTCGAAATGATCGTTGAGGTGCTTTTTCTTGAATAAGTTCCATTTTAATTGAATTATTTTCTTCTATAGTTGATGTATCCTGTTCAGGTTTTTCTTCAGATTGCATTTGTTTTGATAAAATACTTTTAATGAAAGTACCTAATGTTGAATTTTCAGCAACAAAACCTTGTGGAACATACCAAATAACTTTATCATCAAAATGAGAATCCTTATCTGCCATAGAAAAAATAGGTAAACGAAGAAGCATTCCAGTTAAAAGACCTCCAACAATGGCCATACCTAATGTTAATAAAAGACCAGCACATTGATAAGCAGCTTGAACAGAAGCTGTTCTATGTTCACCTCCTGATAAACATTTATACGTTAAATTTTCATGATAAAATGATCTCCAAGGCATACTAGCAACAACCATTCCAGCTAAACCAGCTAAAACTCCAGGCATTCCATGTAAATAATGAACGCCACATGTATCATTAATACGAATTTTTTTTAATAAATCAAGTAAATATTTATAACCTAATGTTGCAATAGTACCAGCAATACTTCCAATAATTATAGCTCCAAATAAACCAATATTTTTATCAGCAACAGTTCCAACAGCAACACCACCAGCTAATGTTGCATTTTGTATATGAGTTATTTTTTCTTCACCTTTTCCAACAAGTGCTGATACAGAAAATGTTAATATAACTGATGCAGTTATACTAATATATGTATTAACAATAGCACGTGTTCTTCCATCTCCATATGCTGTAGCGGCATTAAATGATGGCCAAAAACAAAATAAAAATAATGTACCAATCATTGAAAATATATCTGATGCATAATTTGGACTTTCGTTCTTAGATTCAACTGTTTGTCGATGTTGAAGAGCATATGATACAGCTAAACCAAAATAAGCACCAAATACATGAACAAATATTGATCTAGAAAAATTCAATTTTTTATTTCTATAGAAAAAAAAACCATAAATGAAAGAATAAATACTTACTCTCCAGCATCATAAACACAGAAAAGTACAGTACCAATATATTCATTCCATACTTGAATGACAACTTCAATTAATGCAAGTACAACTAATTGAGTTGGATTTATTGATCCAAGAACAGCACCAAATGATATTAATACAGATGCACAAATAAAATCTGCTTGAAGAAGAATTTTAACATTAACTGGAAATGATTGTGTAATTGTATTCCATTCAAATACATAACCATGAACTAAAATAGCCCATTCAACAACAAAAGCAGCTATTAAAAAATTAAATGAAACTGATGAAAATGAATAACGACGAAGAAAAGCCATTAAAAAACCAAAACCGATAAACATCATAACATGAACATCTTGAAAAAATGAATAATAAAATTCAACATCACCAACAGGAGGTGGACTATTATACGATATTGCTTCTGTTATATTTCTTGGTTCGTCTTTTCTTAATCCATAATCAACATGAACAGCATATAATACACTAAAAATACATTGAAATACAATCAATGCCATTGGTAACATATGTTGTTTGAGAGCTTCTTTAACATTTTCTTTAATATCTATCATCGCCATTTCGTCTATTGATATAAACAAATAAGTAATAAATATTTAATAGCGAAGGATTATGCTTATTTGTATGAAATAATCGTCTACATTTATATAATGTTTGTTCGAGGTGTTTTTTTTCTTCTTGACAAAATTTTCGCCCATAGTTTTTTACTTGTGTTAATCATATCGTGCTTATCTTATTTTCTCATGAAGAGAACGTCTACTTCTATAGACAAAATTCAAAACATAAAAATAAACAAACGAATCAAGTCAGTCTGTAATAATAACAAATAAAAGTATCGAATATGTGTTAATGACGATTGTTTCATCACGTAAATTAGAAACTGTCAAATAGGTTATTGTCATAATGCATATAATTGTTGTATATCATTGTTAACGGTAGCTCGCATTCTACCCAACCTCGATTCTCTATCTCTTTCTCTCTCCCTTCTCCTGTCTACTGTATTGTGATTGTTATTGTTGTTTCTCTTTCTTTCTCTCTTGTTCTTCTTCTCCTCTCTATGAATATAACAGGTGGGGCAAAAGTTTTGCATTAATTTTGTTTTTGATATAAGTCTGGAACACAATGTCGGAGTGACTTCATTTTTTTTTTGTTAGAAAGAGCAAAGTGTCTACTACAAAAATATATAAAAGAATTTGATTGGAAATATTTTTCGAAGGCCACAATAATCTTAGAACACAATGCTTGGAAAATTTCTTCCTCAGCTTTGGTCAAATTTTTTTTATTCAAAAATATTTGTTTGAACTTTTTCATTACCCACTTTCGACGCTTTTGAGCACCATATATATACAGTTGTTCAGTACAACGAACGCTTTCATTTGGTATTAAAATAATTGGTATAACATACAAGAGAATGAACAAAAGACAATTTGATTAAAAAAAAATTAATTGGTCGAATTTGGTTTTGCATCGGGAAAACAAGTTCTTGTCTGAATATTTCACAGATAAGTTGTGTCCAATTCCAAATAATATCGTTTGGTAGAGAACTCAATAAGCTTCCTTTTTCATATACAATATATAGCTTCTGGCAACCTCTCTTGCGAAATAGAGTTTATTTTGTCGACTGCTATCAACAGTGATGAAAAATCGGTGACACAGACGGTAACATTAAAGCCTTCATTTCTACCGTTATAAAACATGTAGAAAATTTCCTTTTTTTGTAAAGCAATAGTGCTCTATCCTTACATTATAAAATCTGCATTAGACGAATAAAAAGAGAATCTGTGTAATTATAGGAAATTTTTTCTCAGTTGAAAAAAGTTGCGAAAGAGTTTTCTGACGCCTTCTGTTCTAAGATTGTTGTGGCCTTAAAAAAACATTTTCCATCAAATTCTTTTATATATTTCTGCACTAGACACTTTGCTCTTTCTAACAAAAATAAATGCGGAAACTTCGGATTTAAATCCGAGAGTTATGTGTACTTCAAAAAGTGAATCATACAAATCAATCATCCTAGACTGTCTGAATATCAAAATTATACTGTGAAATCTACCATTTAAAATGTTGATTTCTATTGCGCGTTGCCAAACCAATAGGACATGGGACCGAATACAGCTCAAGTTTGAACTCTTTCCCTTGATTTACCCTAAGAAAGTCGTTTTCCCCTATAACTTCATTTCTATTGGTCACTGCACAACTAATAGTATTTCGATGGAAGTGCAGTACACATTCGAGTTCTCCATATCTGAAAACCTCGAAGTATCATCAGTGTGACCGGAAGATAAAGCTCTATTTGTGGATCAATTAGATCGTGGACAAAAATATAACCTAGTTCTCTTTAATTATCCTTGTCATAGGTAAGTCAACCTTCTTGTTTCTTTATGTTTTATATATCATTTTGTAGTTCTTGAAATTCTCTATCGAATGGTATATAATAGTTGGGATTTTAATTGACTATAATAGGAAAAGTCTTTTACGAAAGTCGCGATGGGTCCATTTTTCCACAGAAAGCTATAGGGCAAAATGGGTATTTTTGCAATAACTCAGGAATGGCTCGGCCAGTCCTCTCATCTTCGAACTCGACCGAGAAATTGTCAAGACTAAGCTGTGTAGAAATTTTCATCGCAATCTGACTCTGCTGTCAAAAGTTATCATGTAAACAGCCAACCGGACGGACCGACACACTGACTATTCTATAGTGTACTCACTTTTTGAGTACACAAAACTATGATTCAGTTCAAAACTAATATCAGATTCAGAATCAGCGTTAAAAACTGAGTCGATTTATGTATTTTGTGAATAATTATGAGCAAAAAAGTTTTTTTCGAAAAATCCCCGTACCCTCCCTCAGGGATGGTCTGGTCAAAAATCACAATTTTTTCGATAACTCAGCCATTTCTTGACGGATCCTTCTCATCTTCGAACTCGACCGAGATATTGTCAAGCCTAAGCTGTGTAGAAAATTTCATCGCAATCTGACTTTCCTTTCGAAAGTTATCGTGTAAACGGACGGACGAACGGCCGGACGGACGCACAGACCGATTTTAGTAGTGTACTCACTTTTTGAGTACGCTAAAAACTCTTTGATTTTTACATACGTAGGCAGATTATTAGGTGGAAGATGTTGTAATTCAATTAATATTACTAATAATGGTAGTCGAGGTGGTATAGTCTGTATTTGTATGAATGCTAATTGACCATTTGATTTTTCAGACTCTGTGTCAATAGTAAATTGAGTACATCCTTGTACATGATTGATCAATAAGTACATTTCTTCCACTGAAGTATATTTGTTCACATGGACTACTTTATAAATAGCTGTTGGTACGACAAATGGTGGAAATTTTTGTCGTAATTCAACATTTTCTTTTGCTTGGATTGTTGTTCGTGTCCATTTTTGTTGTTGATGTATCAATAGTTCAAGATCAGTTGATGTATCATCATTATCACGTAAATAATGTGGAATGAGTTTATCTGACATTATAATTACTAAATAAAACACAATTAGATTAGTTGATATAAAATAAGTGAAGAAAAAAAATAACATAAATAAAGTAAACAAATAAATCATATAATTTATCATTCGTTCAGAGAAATAAACCTATCAAGGTTGTATACATAGGTATCGTTACTATATTAATAAAATATATAATATATGTAAGGCTAAAAGAATAAATAACATTTGTTTGTTGAAACAGAAACACTTCGGAAAGGGAAGGCTTCCTATGTATAGTTTGTTTGTGCTTGTAATAACCAATATTTGTTAAGGTTAACGATATGTAGATAATAATTATATTGATAATTAATACGCGCTAATTAAAATATCAATATTTTCATAATCATAACGAATCGGTGTTAGTTCACCTAAGTCGTTGCGCATACAACAAAGATGATCAAACATCGAATCACCATAACATAACATTAACAGTTAATGATCATTAGCAAATAACTAAACAATAAGATATTAAATTGATTTTGAAATAAGAATAGGTCGAATATCATCAACATGTACTCTGGATTCGACCTGTGTTTCTTCATCTTTGATCCAATAAGTTGGATGTTGTTTCCGAATAATTATTTTTGGTGTAATTGAATATTTTGGTTCTAATTTATTTTTTATTCCATGGGTTTTAATCAATACTGGATCGTTGATCTCATAATGTGGATCTGGACGTCATTTATCATAATTAGTCTTATATTGTCGTTATCGACGAATAATATTATCACGTGCGTGTTGTTGTATTATCAACAGATTTTTTTTAATTGCACATAATAATCATTTGGTTTGTTGAAAATAAACGATGATGAAAGTTCGTCAGTAGGTAAACGTGGTTCTCGACCAACCTGTAATTGAAATGGTGAATAATTAGTCGTTGCATGGATCCCTGTATTGTAAGCAAATACTACTCGTAATGAGAATTCATCCCAGTTGTTATTTTCTCCATCTTGAAGTTTGGAAATTTGACGGACCAATGTTGCATTAAAACGTTCAATCATCCCATTACTTTGTGGGTGATAAACACTTGAAAAAATATGATTGCAAACCAATTAATTTTGCCATGGATTCCATAAGTTAGTTCCCTCGACTCGAGGGAGGCTCCTATGAAAAAACCTGAAAATGGGTTTGTGTGTTTGTCGGGGTCAAAAAAAACATCTATTTTAAGTTCTCTTCTATAAACGTTGACGAAAGTAAATCGGAGTCGGGGAATCCGAATCTGATATCAGATTTTCAAAATTTTCAACTGAATTTTTTCGGTCAAGGGAAGGGTTTTTTGAGAAAAGAAGGATATTTTATACAGGTTGACGAAAGCGAATCGGGGTCGGGGAATCCGAATCTGAAGTCAGATTTTCAAAAATTTTGAATTGAATTTTTTGGGTCAAGGGAGGGGTTTTTTGAGAAAATAAGGATATTTTATAAAGGTGGACGAAAGTGAATCGGGGTCGGGGAACCCGAATCTGAAGTCAGATTTTCAAAATTTTGAATTGAATTTTTTGGGTCAAGGCAGGGGTTTTTTGAGAAAAGAAGGATATTTTGTAAAGGTTGACGAAAGTGAATCGACGTCGGGGAATCCGAATCCGAAGTCAGATTTTCAAAATTTGGAACTGAATTTTTAGCATCAAGCGAAGGGTTTTTTGAGAAAATATGGATATTCTATAAAGGTTGACGGAAAGGGAATCGGGGCCGGGGAATCCGAATCTGAAATCAGATTTTCAAAATTTTGAATTGAATTTCTAGGGTCAAGGGAGGGGTTTTTTGAGAAAATAAGGATATTTTATAAAGCTTGACGACAGTGAATCGAGGTCGGGGAATCCGCATCTCAAATCAGATTTTCAAAATTTTGAATTGAATTTTTTGGGTCAAGGGAAGGGTTTTTCGAGAAAATAAGGATATTTTATAAAGGTTGACGACAGCGGATCAAGTTCGGGGAATCCGAATCTGAAATCAGATTTTCAAAATTTTGAATTGAATTTTTTGCGTCAACAGAAGGGTTTTTTGAGAAAATAAGGATATCTTAAAAAGGTTGACGAAAGTGAATCGGGGTCGGGGAATCCGAATCTGAAGTCAGATTTTCAAAATTTTGAATTGAATTTTTTGGGTCAAGGGAGGAGTTTTTTGAGAAAATAAGGATATTTTGTAAAGGTTAACGGAAGTGAATCGAGGTCGGGAAATCCGAATCTGAAGTCAGATTTTCAAAATTTGGAACTGAATTGTTTGCATCAAGGGGAGGGTTTTTTGAGAAAATACGGATATGCTATAAAGGTTAACGAAAGTGAATCAAGGTCGGGGAATCCAAATCTGAAATCAGATTTTCAAAATTTTGAATTGAATTTTTTTGGGTAAGGGAGGGGTTTTTTGAGAAAATAAGGATATTTTATAATGGTTGACGATTGGAAATCGGGGCCGGGGAATCCGAATCTGAAATCAGATTTTAAACATTTTGAACTGAATTTTTTGGGTCAAGGGAAGGGTTTTTCAGAAAAAAAGGATATTTTATAATGGTTGACGGAAAGGGAATCGGGGTCGGCGAATCGGAATGTGAAGTCAGGTTTTCTAAATTTTGAATTGAATTTTTTGGGTCAAGGGAAGGGTTTTTTGAGAAAATAAGGATATTTTATAAAGCTTGACGACAGTGAATCGAGGTCGGGGACTCCGAATCGGAAGTCAGATTTTCAAAATTTGGAACTCAATTTTTGCATCAAGGGAAGGGTTTTTTGAGAAAATTCGGATATTTTATAAATGTTCGCGAAACGAAATCGGGGCCGGGGAATCCGAATCTCAAATAAGATTTTTGAAAATTTTGAATTGAATATTTTGGATCAAGGGAAGGGTTTATTGAGAAAATAGGTATATTTTGTAAAGGGTGACGAAACGAAATCGGGGCCGGGGAATCCGAATCTGAAATCAGATTTTAAACATTTTGAACTGAATTTTTGGGTCAAGGGAAGGTTTTTTGAGAAAATAACGATATTTTATAAAGGTTGACGATTGGAAATCGGGGCCGGGGAATCCAAATCTGAAATCAGATTTTGAACATTGTGAACTGAATTTTTTGGGTCAAGGGAAGGGTTTTTGAGAAAATAAGGATATTTTATGAAGCTTGACGACAGTGAATCGAGGTCGGGGACTCCGAATCGGAAGTCAGATTTTCAAAATTTGGAACTCAATTTTTGCATCAAGGGAAGGGTTTTTTGAGAAAATTAGGATATTTTATAAATGTTGGCGAAACGAAATCGGGGCCGGGGAATCCGAATCTGAAATCAGATTTTCAAAATTTTGAACTGAATTTTTTGGATCAATGGAAGGGTTTTTGAGAAAATAAGGATATTTTATAATGGTTGACGATTGGAAATCGGGGGCGATGAATCCGAATCTGAAGTCCGATTTTCAAAATTTTGAATTGAATTTTTTGGGTCAAGGGGAGGCTTTTTTGAGAAAATAAGGATATTTCATAAACGTTGACAAAAGTGAAAAGGGGGCGGGGAATCCGAATCTGAAATCAGATTTTGAAAATTTTGAACTGAATTTTTTGGGTCAAGGGAAGTTTTTTTGAGAAAATAAGGATATTTTATAAAGGTTGACGAAAAGGGAATCGGGGTCGGCGAATCCGAATCTGAAGTCAGGTTTTCAAAATTTCGAATTGAATTTTTGGGGTCAAGGGAAGGGTTTTTTGAGAAAATAAGGATATTTTATAAAGCTTGACGACAGTGAATCGAGATCGGGGACTCCGAATCGGAAGTCAGATTTTCAAAATTTGGAAGTGAATTTTTGCATCAAGGGAAGGGTTTTTTGAGAAAATAAGGATATTTTATAAAGGTTGACGAAAGGAAACCGGGGTTGGGGAATTTGAAGCTGAAGTTAGCTATTCAGAAAATCAAATGTTTATTTCCATGAAAAGATCATACCTTTACTCTCTGAACTGTTGTCTAAGGTAAAAGCAAATTTTTTCGAGAAAAAGACATTTGGAAAAAAGGGAAATTCGGAATATGGAAAATCGCTCTGTATATCTGGAGTCTGCTTTTGCTGTCTAGTTGCGATATTCTCTTCAGATTATAGTTGTAGACACGAATCGGAGCGTGACCTAATGGGATGAGTGTTTTGGTAAGTCGTAATGCGATGAGATACTGTTTACAGACCTCCGGCAGTCAGTCTAATTGGAGCAACATTGAGAGATTCGTCTTTATTCATAGTGGTTTCTGAGTTAAATGGCTTTTTTGAGTGCACTCTTCTTGAGTCGAGAAAAGTAGCATAAAAAAATCTTGTAAGTGAAGTTTCAGCTTGTGGAATACATGGAAAATAACTAATGATTGTTTTAATGTATTCCAATAATGCAGCAAGGGACTATCGGCAAGCCCTAAGAGAAGTGCTGGTGAGGCACTGGTCGCTAAAATCGCAAACGTGTTCTACTGTCATTTAACAAAAGATGTACGTGAAACCTACATTAATCAAGAATGACCAACTAGGGTCCTCCAAATCAGCAGCCGTAATACAACTCTAACGTATTGGCTAAACAATTATGTTGAAGAAATGAGTAATAAATACTAGGAAAGTATTGGTTCGGAGCAACATATTTGGAGCCATCGTGTTATAAATCCAAAAGTTTTTTTTAAGTAAGAGCAGCCTAGCATTTGACAGGGTTTGAGTGAACAGAATTATCTAATGGTGAACAATATCACGGGAGGCAGTAGCTAGCTACGAGTAGCGCCCCGAATGGATGTCGACAAGCAACTAGCTGGTGCTCTGGAAAGTTACCTTATGAAGGGTGTTACACTATAAGAATTCCACGGGAAAATGTTAACGGTTTAGATCTGATAGGTTTCGGTAAGGACTTAAAATGATAAAAGAGGAGAAATATTTTCGTATGTATTATAAGTAAGACCAGTTTTTCTGTGAGAACAGAATATAGGGACACTTTATAAAGGCGTGAGACTGAATATCAAGTCTTGATCAAGTACTTGTTAACGGAACTCTTGAAAATATGGCTTGCAATAAGATATTCATTTCAAATATAGATTAAACATCGTGGTCACTGCGTTAAATAACGAATATCATACAAAGCTTTTATTAGTAAAATGTATAAGAAATATATTGGACAATTATGTTGCAATAGTCGTCTATTCGATATGGACATACTTAAAATATAGAGAGACCTAATTTTCCAAACAAAATAGCAACTAGTAGAAAATAAATGATAAATTGAATTAGATGTGTGGACAAACTTCTTAATTCGGTTTGAATCTTTCTATTGGTTTCAACTAATGTCGGAATCATATCATTATCTTGATATCAAATAGAAATGAAATCTAATAAATCCTTTTCTGGTAATACTTTTTAGACATAATTTGATAAAAGTTTAATAATTAGCATATCATTCTGTCCTGCTTTTAATCCTTTTTAAGAAAAATAACACTCGAACATAATAGGAAAGTATATGATAAAAACTTAGGGCAATCATCTAGCATGTATTAGACAGATTTAATACTCGTTCACTGAAATAAATCATTCTTAATATTTAAAGTAGTGATATATGGCAAAAAATTAACTAAAAAAGTGAAAAAAATTCATAAAGTAAATTTCTATGAATTTTCATTTTTTTATTGCAGAACAAACCACTAACAATATCATCGATGCGAAAATCTGCTGAAATCAAAATAACCACGAATAATATCTGATAGTCTTTTAGCATTAAGATCCAAATAGAGAATTGTTTTCTTTATCATGCGTCTTTGTATATGCAATAAAAGATATTTTGTATTGCAGCTATAG